TCCCAAAAAAAAAAAAAAAAAAAAAAAAAAGATAAAAGAAGCAGTCCATCCAAACTCTTCTTCTTGGCAGCTCTCACTAGCTTTGGACTTCTCTAAAAGCAGTGCTATCCTAGTGCAACTCCAGGGCCTGACACCAGGAGGACTGTGCTTTTTTCTCCTTTGGTGTTAATAATCATTATCACGATAATCAGACAGCATCACCAGTCACACACACTGTGTGTGCCCACTTTGGGACTTGATCTCTTTCAGGCATTGGAGTGTTGGAGGTCCTACTAACTCCCGTTTCACAGAAGGAAGAGCTGAGATAAAATTACTCTCAGTAAAGAGGTCTACCATTGTTCACACATTCATTCACAAGATTTTAATCTTAGAAGGTCTATTGTCTTCTGCCTAAAATGTGTTTTAAAACCCCTTTCTTCAAGGAATTCTCAGCTCATTCATCAATTCATTCTTTTCAAAGCACTTGTTTGATTTCAGCCTTTCTAATACAAATGGCTATTTCTTTTGTTTTCTATCCCATTAAGGTCCTGTGTCAGAATCAAAACCCTTCATTCCATATGCAGGAGGTGAGACACTATCCTGGCTGCTGGACCAAAGTGAGTGAATCATGGCTGTGTACATATTTTATCATATTTAATACATTTTATTTTGTCATCATCTCTTAAGGCACATTAAGTAGTTTTATTTCCTTTTACAACAATGACTTTTTATTTGTCTTTATAATGTAATTAGTGTAATCTCCATATTTGCTTTCCCCTTGAGTCAGCTTAACACATTCTCCTGTTCATTATGAAATATTTTGTTTCCTTCCAAGTTTTCTCCTGACCACGTCCTTATTTTAATTTACTTTCCCCACACAATGTGCTCCTATGATGATTTTATCTCAGAAAAATGTCACATCTTCCCCTTGGTACTAAGATTCTCTGCTCATTTTACCACTGTTCCCTATTTTAGTTTAACGTCCTTTCATTTCTATTATGTGTTACGTGTTCCAAGTTTTATGTCCCTCCGGCATTCATTTTAATAGAAGTGGGAGAATCTATAAATAAAAGCAGCTTCTTAGAATAATGCTTTCATTCTTCTCCTCTTGCCCACCCCCACTTCTGGAGCAAGCCCTCCATTTCCAGCAGACACTCTGAAGTGGAGGTTCTCCTACAGAGTCTGACCCCTAAATCTCTGCTGCATCTGGTCTGGAATGGCCCCTGGGGAACACGGGGAGGATTCCAACTTAGGATATCCATGCATTAGGGCTCTGTGCAGAATGGCTCCTGGTCCTACCCTGCATTTTCAACAAATCAAGAGAAGCTGAAAATCTACACAAAGTCAAAAATTCAAATCCTAAAACTAGAAAAAAAATAGTGTGGAGCGACACAGAGTAGATAATAAGCAGACAAGCAACCCATTCTCCTACTGGCCTGCCAGGGGTATCTGCAGCGGGCTTCTCTCCTCCATAGGAAGTCCCTTCTACTGCAGGACTGCTCATTTACATATCCTAGGATATATCCCTTTGGGCTTAAAAGTTCTGCCAGAGGAGACCTAGCAAGGGAGGCCCTCAAGGAATTCTTTCAGGTGCCAACATGGCCCTAGAGCACACCCCACAGAAGCGAGGGTCCCAGAACTCAGATTCCATGGGGGGCGGTTTTTGATGACATTATTTGCTCCATTAAATCTCTAAAAGGGTTCAACTCTAAACATAACTTCACAGTTACGTCTCCAAGGGCAGCCAGAGCCTCTCCCAAATCCACCCCATTCCCACCACACCCTAAGAATCTTCTTCCAACATGTGGTTATGAACATTCTCAAACATGTAGCGAAGTTGAAAGACTTTGCACGACCCTACTCTACCAAGAACATATTCACTTAAATGTCTCCATTGCATTTCTCTCTGTTTGCCCATCCATCAATCCTTTTTATTTTTGCCACACTCAAAAGTAAATTGCAGTATCAGTACACATCTCCCAAGATACCTCAACATATGCGTCATTGCCAAGAGTTCATTATTTGCTTATGGATTTCTTGTCTTTTGAAGTAAAATTTCCCTGTGATGAAATGAGTGGACGTTATTATCCACGTGTTGAATTCTGATACAGGAACACACCTGTGCAACCCGAACCCTTACCAAGATTGAGAAGACCTCACCCCAGAGACTGTCCTCTGTACCCTTCCAGGCAATGCGATGTTCACCCCTATAGTTTTTCTTGCCCTACAGAATGGCTCTGCCAACAGAACTCTACCAACGGAACCATGGCGCTCTGGTATGAGGCTCCTCTCACGTGGTATAATGTTTACAACATTCACCCCTCTTATTATGTATGCATACCAGTTGCCTGCTCCTTTTTACTGCTCATTGTGTAACTACATCACATTTATTTATCCATCTGCCTATGTGGGGGCCTAAGAAACCTAAATTGTAACAAATTATATGACCCAGGGAACTCCACAGTCTACTTGAGGAAAAAACAAAGTCCAAGGGGTGCCACCCCAGACTGCTGTGAGGACCCAGCAGAGGATGGCAGTCTGGAAGTCTTTGATAGAAGCCTCACAATCAGGCATGGAAGCCACCCTACCACTTCCGGGTGGCCCTGGGAATCCTGGTTACATCAGTCACTGTGTCATCGGTTGCCGCGACAGCCTGGTGCAGAAATGAAACTGCACTCAAGGCTAACCTACCTGTTCAGAAGATCTCCAGACAAAGCCACAGCCTTTAAAACGGATCCGAGAAGCTGGCAAAAGAGGACTCTTCCCTCCTGGCTCCGTCCCCTGTTCCTAACGATCT